CCAGAGAACCCGGGAATGGCAGCGCTCCAGAGATGATTTATTATTTTCCTTACTTTGCAGACTCCTCTGAGTTTGCAGGAAGGAGGGAATGAAGGTTACTATCAGCTCGAGTGCTTTCAGGACTTTGCATTGAGGAATAACTGCTGAGAGCTCTCTGTTCATGCAGTACCTGGCAGCCTTTGCAAGAAGCATGGTCAGTATTCAGTAACTTCATGCCAGTTCAGCTGTCAGCAGTTTGGCAGCAGGTATTTCATGTGCTATTTCACTGCTTCATCCCCTTTCTTGTCCATGATCAGATACCCATAAATAACAAAGGTCAAGAAATAAGCAAAACAATGATGCTTCTTGCAGAGGGGTTGATCCAGCATCAGTCCTCTTGTCCTCCCTCTGACCCACAGTTTGCAGAACCACAGGGTACCTGCTTGAGCCAAGACAAACCAAAATAGATCCCAACTCCCTGTTCTCTCAGCACTCGGCTAATAAAAGGTACAAGGAATTTCAGATCTTGCTCCAGTTCGGGCTGTTGACATAACCAGGCCAGCATGTCTGCTTTATTGACTTCCTAGCATTAACCTGATTCCTTAAAGGAATTATAGTGATAGGACTGCGTTGTCCAAATGCACTGATGTGTGTCTTTCACACTCACTGACCAGCACAGCTGAATCTGAGAGAGGAACAGTGCTCTTGAAACCATTATGTTCTTGCAAATGTAAAGGGGACAGTCAGACAGAGGACAGATTCTCCCAGGACCACTCCGAGGGCGCTGAGCTCCAGGAGCTCAGCCTCCATTAGGCACTGGAAAACCACACAGCTTATCCCTAAGCTCCAACCAGCATAAACTCCATCAACAGCCTCTGCTCCTTGGTCCATGGTACTGCTGGTTTCTTGGCACAAATGGCCCAAGAGCTCAGTGATGATTCCCTTTGGATCTACTGCAGATCTCACCTTTTTCAAGGCTGTTCCTGGTGGGGATGGGGACGCTGGTGTCTGCTCCAGTGTAGTCCACACCAGGAACCCCAGCTCTGCTGGAACACTGGAGCATGCCCATGTCCCGGGATGGTGCAGGTGGATGTGGCGCTCAGGTTTTCACAAGTACACTTTGCTGCCTACACTGCAAGGTTGCGGACACTGCCCAAGGGCCTGGAACATACTGCTGTTGTCAGGTGAAATGGAAACAGCTATAAAAAGCTTAGAAATATACATGCTCGGAGCAAAACCAGCGTGGGGCTCAGTAGTGGGAGGGAGGTCTCGTACAGCAGCCGTGGTTTGATGTGTGCTGGCGAGCAGTGAAACAAGAGGCTGCCCCATCCACAACCACAGGCTGTTGAGAAGCAAATTAAACCAACACATTGGTGGCAAGGTAACAAAATGCATGATAATTAAACTGCCTCTCATACAGATGTAAAGCTGGTGGCTCTTGCGTAGCAGGTTAGCTGGAGACCCCAAGACAGGGATGTGAATGTGAACGATGCGAACCAGCACCGTGCCCCTGAGTGGCTGAGATGGAGGGTCCTGGGGGTCAAAACCTCCTACAGAACATAGAACGGGCTGGCAGAGCTAATATTTATTGTCTTGGTGGTTTGGACAAGGGCAAGAGAGAAGCTGGGTAGCTGTTGGCCTCTGGAGAAACGTGTTTCTGCATGGATTGGGTAGCTGATTTTGAATTAATTTGGAATAGTTGTTTCGGTAATTTGGATTGATTTAAGATGCACCCAAGAATAATGCTTTCATTAGAAAACCTCCTGAGCAAAATTTAAATCATGCTAAATTAAAACCAGCCTCTGATAAAGCAGGGCTGACGAGCACAGCAGAGGGATCAGAGATGCACGGTCAGTATAATTTAATTCTTTTGCTTTGTTTCCCATTCCAGAATAATTCTTGTACCCATCTCCTTGGGTTGTTAACTGCCTAAGGAGCTTGCAAGTCAGCCTGGAATTCTCCAGACCGATTTGCATTGTAACCCCACCAAAAGCAGCTCTTAATCTATTTTATACAGTGCTTCACCTTCAAGAAGAAAAGCGTTTTTATTGCTTTTCATTTCTGGATCAAGCTGGAAATTCAGTTGTATCCTAAAGATACCGAGGGACTTGGAATAACAGCAAGTGATGTACGGAACAGTAGGAGAGTTATTGGTTTCCTAATGCTAGCCTTGGTTGGTTGTGGTGAGTAAACTTTTGCCTAAGCAGAGGTAATTTTTGAGTGTCTTAATAAATGGGAAAAGTTACCTTGCCACAAGCAATGGTGGAATTCCAGTGCCAGGGAAACATTCACTTATCTGGATTTCAGCATTTTCAGTGTTCAAAACAAAAAATACATATATATGTGCAGAGATTTGAGTTAAACCCCGTTGTGCTTTCTAGTTTCTTGTTTGAAATGCTGGCTGGAGTTTTATGGCAAATGGTAATATTTAAGATACTCGTAAAAGCTCCGAGTGTTGCTGAAGCACAAGCAGCGAACTGGCAACCACCAACTATTAAGAAGCATGTTGGAGGCTTTGGCTGCTTTTTTGGCAAGGTCTGTGGGATAGGAATTGCCAGAACTCTCATTAGTAAGTAACAGGATCCTTCCAAACATATTGAAATGACTTCTGAAGACAGACGTATATGAAATATTGTGTGAAAATGACAGTTTGTCAAAGCTGGAAGGGTTTATGGGGAAGTGGAAGGGGGCAGGAGGTGTTAACCACCCACTCCAGTGGTGGGAGTGAGAAGCTGGGATGACCTGAGGCCAAAAGTTTCATTTCTAGCTCAGGAGTTTCTGTGCTGTGGTGCCAAGCAGTGGGTGAGAGCTGCTGCGCGAGCCAGGGGCTGGAGCTGGCACCATTGGTACCTTGGGACCCCAGCACCATTCCTCTGGCTCCACAAAGTGCCTCTCCAAGGAGGGGTCTGGCGGGGGCCCTGTGATGCTTGTCTGGCAGGAATTAGGTTTTTGTGCCTCTTAGCAGCAGCTCCTCTTTCTGGCAGAGGTTTTGAGTGAGCCAGTGGAGAGCGTTTGGCTTTGGGTGCTTCAATAAGGGAGTGATGGGTACCTACTGTGGGCAGATGGGTGATGTCAGAGGGCACAGGGCCTCTTTTGGGTCTGCTCTTATTGAGGTTTCCGAGTTGCATGTGAGCCTGTGATTTGACACTAAACTTAGCTGACAGCCTATTTTCTACAGACACCTACTTTAATTAAAATCCTGCAGGAAAAACCCCAAATCAGTAATACCAGAAGTTAAAGCTTTAAGGCTTTCACAGCATGTTATAGGTCCCTTTCCAGTGAACTCTTACAAAGCCGTGGTTAAACATCTCATTTTTAAAATCCTTGTCAACTCATTTATAGCACTCGTTCATCTCTAACTTCTGTGATTACAACAGATTGAGAACACTTTCAAGTCCTCAGAAGCACTCTGGTTTGTCCATCCATGTGTTCAGAAAGGAAGGGAAAGAGAACAAGACTCTCCCATCACTAATATAAAGCAACATACATGTGAATGTCCAGAAGTGTGTGCACATACAAAGATAGGTGCCATCATTATTAAACAGAAACCAGAAAACAGAGCTGTGTTTTCATGCATTTCCCTCTCATAGAGAAGATGTGAACAAGCCACCCAGCACAGGTGTCCCTCTGAAGCTGCTCAGATACAGCGATGGGGATGGGAGGGTGGGAACTGACCAGTATGGGCCAGTAAGAATGTGAAACAGCAGGTTGGGGCATGCTGGGATCCAAAGCCCAGCTTCCATTTCGAAACAAGCACTTTTCCCAGGTAAGGAACTCAGCTTTTGCCATATTGAACATGCAAACTTTGCTCAGATGATAAAAAGGAGGAAAAACGGGGTCTTTTTTAGTGACTATGACAGACGTGTTCTACATCTTCACTTAATGAAGAAATTCAGGCCTGCAGTTGTCATATGTCAGATTCTGCTCCTTTCTGAGAGCTGAATTATGATTTTAATAATTGAAAAGTGCTACTGCAAGCCTGGTCATGTAGAACAAGCCCAGGGAAGTGTTTAAAATCAAAAGCAGTTTAGAGAAAAAGCGATCACCACATTACAACAATTGTCTACAACTTAATGTTAAACTGTGTGAATCTCCAGTGGCAAAACTCCCTGCAAAGTAACTGTGAATTTAGTGTATTGTTCTGGTGTGTGGAATTAAGACATTGCATTTGATCCTGACTTTGGACCCGCCTGAAGCAGCAGCCAGTGATGCCAACTTGATTTTATATAACCCCATGAGGGTGAGGGCTTGGTCATTCTGCTTACCAAGGTTTTAGTTCAGAGCAACAGAAGCTCCAATCTATAATCTCAGTAGAAACATCTGTAAGACGGAAATGAAATATAGGGGGAAAATGTGCCCTCCAGGCTACATTCCCCTTGCTTTGATATCATTATCTTTGTACCTGTCCATGGGAATGCTTCAAATTCTACTGCAACAGCATATGCATATTGTTTCTTTAAACTCGCAGCTAAACACAGACAGGAAGCCTGTATCCTGCTCAGTTAAGTACTAAACATGTCCTGAAAATCATGGAGTATTTTCAGTAGAGAGGCCCACAATATCCATTGGAAATGTATAGTTCCTGGCATGTCAAGTGAAGAAAAAATGACCAACATCACGAAGAGAGACAACACACACATCAGCAACTCTGTGTAAAACGTGTGGCTCAAATGAATGCCTGAAAACCCATAAACTCTACCTGACGGGTCCCTTGCACTCATGTTAACTTTTCTCTCCTGCAGAAGGAGTGTGAAACAGGACCTGCTACTCCACAGCCTTGCTCCTCCTGCACTCATTTCCATTGTGCCAAGCATTTGTCAAGTGGGTGTAAGTGCTTTTTCTGTTTTACACAACTTCACATAAGTATATATTGCAGAAGTTGTAAGGCAAAGAACAAACAAGCCCTTAACAGTTCCAGCCCCTTTTCAAACATGCACCCAGGAAAAAGCTTAAGAGTAACTGAAGTCAAGCTCCTAGTACATGCTCGCCTGCTGCTCAGTGAAAGAAGAAGTAATACTCACCCCAGTGTTGTCATGGTTACAATAGTGTACCAAAAGGAAGCAGGAATACTGGTGAATTTGCTTGCTGAGGACCCTTTCTCTGCATAAAACATCACAGTTGCAAAGATGATGATTGCCATAGTGAGGGAAAAGAGGAGAAAGCCAAGCTCGGAGGCACAGCTCTTCAAAGTGTAGCCCAAGATTCTTAAGCCTTGGGAATGGCGAGAGAACTTGAAAATCCTGAAAACCCTGAAAACCCTTAATGTCACAAAGGCTCCGCTGACATCCTCGTTGTTGGTCATCACCAAGCCAATGTAGTACGGCATGATGGCCACCACGTCGATGATGCTCATCACACTTCTAATGAATCTGTAGCGACTTGGGGCCGCAAAGAGTCTCAACAGATACTCAACTGTGAAAATCATCACACAAGCTGTGTCCAAGCAAAAGAAAGCCACAGCGTATCTTTCCCCACATGGAAGCTCCTTGTTTCCAGGCACCGTGCCACAAGGGACAGTTTCCACGACATTAGTGATTACAGAGACAGCAATAAAGAAACCGGTGACATAGTAAAAGACTAAGGCTAAGGTGCTGGTGTGGGGGTTCTCGAAGGCTCGCCACATGGTCTGCCGGAAGCTCAGGGATGGCATGGACCCTTCTTGGTTGTTTTCAGAGTCATTGTCATCCATCAGCCGCTCCGCGTTCTCCCGCTTTCTGTCTTTGTACTCTTCATAGCAGCAGTCCCCAATGATTTCAGGGAGGATCCCATAGAAGGCAAGCTCTTCGTCGTAAGCAGAGATACACTCGTACCTGGGGTAGTGCAGCTTGCCAGTTCTATAAAAATTCAAGATGCACCTAAAGACCTCAGGGTCCCGGTCAAAGAAGTACTCCTTAGTGTCTTCATTGAAGAAGAACTCCTTCTCGGTGCTACCCAGGAGAGTGTCCGGGTATCTCTCCAGTGTAGTCCTCCAGGTCTGGAAACGCCTGCCACTCACATTGAGAATGATCAGCTCATCCTGCCTCTTGTTTTTCTCCGTTGGAGCCAGTGGCATAGGACAGTTGGCCACTGGCATCCATCCTATGGCGGCTGCCCTGGCAAAGGGCAGCCATGCTGCTACTCCTGCTGCCATGATGACCCCAGGCCTTGTTACTGGAGAAGATGGTTAGGCTGCTCCTGAGACCTGTTGGAAGTCAGATCAGTTCCATCTACAACAGAGAACAGAATAAAAACACAACACAGTCAAGAGAGGTGTCTTGCCCCATTGTGTTAAGGGTACGTACACAAGGAATTTAAACAAGTGGCTTGCCCATATCTCCCACCTGAAGGATGATGTTAAGGCACAGGATAATCAGCTCTTCAGGGTTATGGCATTATTCTAGATTGAAATTTTGAATAGCAAATGATTCCTCATTAAAAGCATTTTAAAAGTAGCATAAACACACTAATTTATATTTGCTTCCTCACAAACAAGACTAATCCATAATTCCCCAGGTGTAAGCCTCCTGTGCTCATCAGTTAACTACAGCTGTCAAGAAAGAGCTGAGAACTCCAGTGAAATCAGCCTGCAGTTCAGCCAAGGAGCTTGTATGCCAGCAAAAGCCATGAGTGGACTGAGCTGGGTTTCCAGTCCTAGGACAGCTCAATACATAAGGGATTTTGCACTAAGAACATTTCCAGCTGAAAGAAATTGAAAAGCTCCTCTGGTTTTCATTACTTTTCTTCCATCTTCAGCTGAAGACCTGGCCTCAGCAGCAGTGTTTTGCTGGTGTCTTTTATTTAGAGATGGGTTTTCTCTTGTGAAATATTGCATCCATCCCCTGGCTCAGAGGAAAATTCAGGGTAGCGTTGCTCCAAATACCGGAGCAACAGTCAGTGTGAATCCCAAGTGTGCAAGCTGATGGATTAAGCTGCTACCTGAATACCAAGAACATCAGGATGAGGGAAGCCTCCAGAGTTGGACAGCTTTCTCCCATCAGGAAGATACCTGGATTATTTCCTAGCTAACAGAGGCAGAAGTCCTTCAGCTGAAGAACTGAAAGACTATTAGGTTGAAATATGTTCACTGCACTCTTGATTTTTAGATGAACAATACCTCAAGTTGTCCAAATCGTCAGCCAACATGCTCTTGAATTTAGAGTAGTTATTGTGGTTCTGATCTAGCCCTGAATTTTCTCATTCTTATTGATCAGAGTTCTTGCAATATTTAAGTTCTTGTTTAACTTGTACTTACTCTCACTTCCCCTAATGTTTTTCTAACTCTACCATAACATTATCTGGAGAGAAAGGTATCACAGAAGATGCGTTTGGGGCCCTATCAAAAGTCGATTTATCAATGGAAATTCCATTGATTCCACTGACTCAGGCCTTTGAAGCTTAATTGTATCCTTTTAGGCAGTTTTACTCTGAAGTTTTTAATTATATGAAAGCTGCCATTCCAGCCAGTAATGCTGCAGCATTATTGATTCCAACAGGCCATCAAAATACTGAATAAAAAATGATGGAATCAATCTGTGGTGAAAATGACTAAACTGCTCACAGAAACACTCTTCCTCTTCAAGGCACATTAACATTCATCACCTTAATGTGGAATATCTTTCTGTGCAATTTTACTATCTAAAGGACAATTGCAGTCCCTCGTGCAAGCATCTTACTGCTGCTGGAAGAGGTTTTGTAATTACGAAACGTGTAATAATCCATAGTGAGGCGTATCCCAAGGAGACACTTCGCTTATACACACAACACTGGAGCAAAGAGAATGCAGTATCTCCCTATGAAGAATTGTTCAATGTTTCTATGCAGCACTTTTTCTCTCCCCCTGAAGAGGGGATTTATTGCGTTAGAGTGCCAGACTGACAGCCCTGGAGACCAGGCTCCTCCATCTGTGCAGGGAAGAGGCTGAGCACTGCAAACTTTCTCTACACGACTTTGAAACCGTGCCCCAGTCTTTAGCTGAAAGGCAGTCTCTTGTGGCTCTGAGCAGAGCTGCTGGTTTCTTATACCAGCAGTGAAGGATCTTTGAACTTTTAGGAAACCCAGCATTAAGAACAGGGCTTGCAAAAAAAAAAACAGGTGGCAGCAAAATGAGAACCAATTTATTCATTAATCACCAAATATCTAGAGGCAAATAACCAGGAGACCAGCGTAATGCATCCTGTTCCTGTTTCCTCAGCTGGTAAACTGTCTTGGCTGCTTTTTCATTTCCATTAGTGACACCACCACAGTCGTTCCACCAGGACTGATTGGCGACGTAGGGTGACCTGACCAGCAGCAGTGCACTGGATCCTCATCTCCCCTGATTTCTCAGAGGAGCCTCGTTAGAAACCTCTCCTGTACTTCTAGAACTTGGGTTGTAAATTCCAGGTTACCTACATTAGCTGCGGAGGCACTATAAATACTTCACATATAATTGTTCTAATAAAGCACTGGTAACTCATAAGTGACTTGCACGCTTTTAAATCAATTTTTAAAGATAAAATGGGTCCTTCCATGCTGGCAGTGTATGTAGGGAAGCTATAAATATCTTGGCTATGAAGTGGACAGGAGATTAAAACAAAAGAGAAAGAGAGAGGTATTCTTCTGGGGAAGTTTAGTTCCCATTTCTCTGTGAGCAAGAAATGCAGCTGGTTAAGGAACATAGTGGGCACAGGTTAGTTTTCAAAGTTGTGTTGAATCTGTCCCATTTGCTTCTCAAAACACACAAGAGAGTCTTTTCCAGCTATAAACTGTCTGAAGGACTGAGAGGGAGAAGACTTATGATACCCCCTGTCACAGAGGTTTTGCTTCTTGTCCACAAGCCCTTGGAGCTCCATCCCTTCCCAAAGTAAGAGATGGAAAATGAAGAGACAGATAGGGCTGGATTTGTAATTCAGAGCAGTGCAAACTAAGTAACTGGTTTATCTACAGAACGTGGAAAGAATCCTCCTTTTCTGGCATGGATTCTGGGGTTTGGTGACTGCTAACAGTCTTTTTAGGCTGCAAGGCAATTGCCCGGGCTCAGAATCTACTGTAGAGTCGACAGAGTCTTCATCTCGCTGAGCAAACAGACACAATTCGATTCTAAGCAGCATATATTTAGCTGCACACATATTTCTAATTTTAATTACCATAATTTCTGCATGTAATTTGAAAGGAGCTAGTTAACAGAGGCTGGGCTCCCTGCTGATGACATTTAGAAGACCTGGTACATGAAATAAAGTAATTTGCCTCTGTCTGATTTAAGAAAGTAAGCATCTATAGAGAAAAGAATCAATTTTCTTTAGGTAATTACGAGGCCAGTGCCAAGGTGAAAGCAGATTTGATAAAGGAGCCTGTGGCGTGAGCCCCTGAACCCCTCAATGGAGTCCCAGCACCATCGAGCCCCCCCTGCCCACCCTGGCTCCCGCAGGCTGTCGGTGCTGCAGGCAATTCGAGGGCACCAGGGATCATCCCAGTCTCCAACAAAAACCTGGCGAGGTCAGTGAAGCTCTGGAGGAAAACTTTGGGGACACAGTTCTCTCGCTTCACCTAAAGGGTCAAGGAATAACTGCTGGCTCCTTACCCTGTCAGCTCCCATGGCAGTGCCGTACTTAATAGACGTGTCTTTGTAGTCTCATGAAAGCAGGAACAGAACAAAAATCTTGAGTGTTTCCCTCTCTACAAGTAGACAGGGATGATTTAAAACACAGCCAATAAATACGCTGTGAGTTTCTCGGTGAGACACCGTTAATGGGAGCAAAGAGCCTTGAGATCATCCATTCTCTCCTTCCCTGTCCTTGTTGGGTCAGGCTCAGGCAGCAAAGATGTATTTGCTTTAAAGCAGAATGCATCAGCCAAAGCTTCCTCTTCTCTGTCAGTCACATACTCCTTTCCCTTCACAATCACATCAGATAATAAAACTTTCCACAACATGTTCACTCCCTCAGTCCATTGGAGAGGTTTAGGAGCAAAAGCAACAGGCTTAGGATAAATGCATGCAAACTTCTGCCCTCCCTCCTAGACAGCCCGAAGAGCCCCATCTTGCATCTCCAGCTCACAGCGATGCCTTACCTGGCAGGAAAGATGCTCCCAGTGCCCAGAGTCGGGCTGAATCTGGGGAACTGGAAGGAAGGGGAAGCAGGCACTCCTCAGGATAAAAGGTGAACCGTTCTGCCTGCCTCTTGACTCCCTCTCCAAATGAAGTCAGAAGCAATCAGTAAATGTGATCATCATTGTGAAAGTATATATAGAGAGATGACTAAACAGCTTCTCCCTCATTACTGCCGCGACGGAGTCTCTCCCTGCCTCTCTCGCCTGAGCTTGCTTCGCTTTGCGCCCTCCCCTTCCAGCACGGCTCGGAGCTTTGCTCACTGCTGAACCCAGCAGCTCCGGCACCGGGTCCCGGAGAGCTGCTCGGCTGGATGCAGCCAGGAGACAGGTCCAAGCTGGTCCCGGGGAGACAGGCTGTGTGTGAAGCGAGACCGAGGAACGGCGGCGTGAGCTAACAGAGGCACCGGCAAATGGAGGCACCAGAGCCTACCCTGCATGCTAATGTGACAGCAGTGGCAAGGGGGAATGAAGGGGGGGAGAAGTAGAGGATGAACTTCACGGGTTCCTCCTGGAGCTCGCGGTGTGTCCCTGGCGTGTGGGGACCACGCAGATGTCCCTTCTGGGCAAGAAAATGAGCCATTCCCTCAGCATCACAAACCTACAGCCAACACCTACACCAGGCAGGAGGCAACGCTCGGGAGTAAAAATAAATAAGCCAGACCTAAACCGATCTTTCCCTGTCTCCTTTCCCAGAGCTGCCCCTTTCCCCCTCATCCTGCCGTTCTTGCTTGCCATGCCCCTCAGCAGCCCATGGCAGTGCTGTCTCCACACCACCCTAGCACCATCCCTCTGTATCCACAGCCAGAAGTTGGACTCTCCACGCTTCAAGACCTTGGCTTTCTTGCTCTTTTATCTGTTTGCCGGCGGTCCCCATGTAGTAAATCATTATGTGCCCAAACGGGATGCAGCCAGTCCTGCCCTGCTCTGCCGGGCAGCCCCCGGCAATGGCTGATGCGCTGCCGCGATAGTTCGCGACTTCCATAAAGTAAAGCAAATACCTACATGAAAGAGCGGAGCGCGGCAGCCTCGCCATTGCCTCGCGTCCTTCCGCGGCTCCGGGCGACACTTTAATACGGGAGTTCAGGGGCTGCAGGGCTCGGGGTGGCCGTCGGACGGGGACGGGGAGGCGCCGGGGGCGGAGCGGGGTGCGGGGGACGAGCGGGCGGGGGCTCCGCTCCTGTCCCTCGCTGCTCCGGTGCCTCCTCCCCGCCCGCAGGTGACGACCCCGGGGGTGGGTGCCCCCAGCCCGAGTCCGGTCAATCCCCCCCCCCCCCCCCCCCCCCCCCCCCCCGGTGTCGGTCCCCTCCCGGTCCCCTCCTCACCTCCGCAGGGCGCTGCCGGCCGCGGCCGCCCGCCGAGCGCCTCCGCTGCCATGCGGCTGCCGGGAGCGCGGGCGGCGCAGAGTGCGCGGGCGCGGCGGCGATCAGCACCGCGGGCGCGGACAGCTCCGCGGGGAGGGGCCGGGCCGGGGCTCCCCTCCCACCCCACGTCTCCAGCGGGTGACCCTGGAGGGGGACGGGTCCTGGTTCAGTGCCTCAGCGTTGTCTAATCCCTGATAACTCAATGCAGTTAATGGAGGTCTAACCCCGATTCCCAAGTGCCGGGCGCTGGGTAAGCCTTCCCCAAACCAGTTTCCCCCAGCAGTGTGTGTAACCTGCACCACAGTGCCTGCGGCAAGGCAATGAGTTGCGGTTTTGCATCAGCAAACACAACCTATTATGATCTTTACAGTGCGGATCCTAAGAGCTGTACACTGGACACACGGGTAGTTTTGTGCAAAGTGAATCCCAAAACTTCTCGGAGAAACTTCCAGCGGCTGTGTGAATTCAAGCAAATCAAAGCATCCTTTATTAGATGTCCTCAGGTCTGCTTTCCCCTGGAGAGCACTTCTCCTGTCTCTGCTTGCTCCTTTCCTCTTGTGGATGCTCAGAGGAAAGCAAAACCAGAAGCAGCAGTACCAGAAGGCTTGTCCTGGTACCAGAGGTTTGTCTGTGATTTACGGTGGCATCAGTCCACAAAGCTCACAGCCTCTCCTCAGCACAGCCGTGCTCCAGCCCTGCTCCTGGCTGGCTCTGGTCTGGCTGGGACTGGGAATAGCTTTTCCCCTATGACTCGGCCCCCTTTTAACTTCCGATCTCTATTAAAAAGCTAATTTGGGAGCTCTTCTTCAATGCTCCCAATTTTGTATTTTTAAATAGAGTATGAAAGTCAAAAGCAAGCTGGCTGCAGATAGGCCAATGTGAAAACATTCCTCCTGCTCCCTCTTTCTTTTTTAAATCCCTTTCTTCTTTCTCTCTTTATGTCTCCTTTTTCTCCTTTGCTCTTTCTTTCTGCCTTCCCCTTCCTCTCTCTTTCTAGGAATGTCTCCTTCGGTTCTCCTGCATCATAGGTTTTACTAAAACTTTTGGGACTACTTTATCTCTTTCTGTTACTGAAAAGAGAACCTGCCAATGCTAAACCGAGCTGCATATGCAGAGGGACAACTGGAAGAGACGCTGCATAGTTAAATATCAATATTAAATATAGTTCACTTGATGGGGTTTTTGCTCTGTATTTATATCCTCTGCCTCTCTAGTGTGTTTTCTGTACTTGGCCTGTTCTTTACTCTGGGTGTTATCCTGCTGTAACTTTGCATCTAAATATCCCCCTGACTTCATGGCCGTGCTGCATAAGCATTCTGTAACGACGGTCGCAGTAATAACCCTAGCTTGGTTGCTTGAAATTACAGCTTGCCATAACAGTGTAGCTTTGTAGTCTGATTATGTCCTCTAGATTGTGCCAACGGTTTCCTTGCTTTGGATCCAAGCTTGTGAAAATGCCTGCAAGGATTAAAGAAAGATCATTAATATGATTATGCGAAAGAGTCAGTCCTTGTAAGCTTAAAATTGTATATGTGGTCTAAAGATTGAAACAGCCTGGAAAACACACTGCTTGGGTATATCTCAAGCAGCTCAAAACCTTGGCCAAGTCTCTTGAGCTCTATGTTCCATCTAAAGAAAGAATATAGTCATATTTACTGACAAAAATATATTATCAGGCTGTATGAACATTTCTAAATGGCTCTAGGATTCCTGAAGGACATTGGTTATACAAAAGTATAAGGAGTGAAATAGGTGTGTGTTTGTCTGTCTGCCTCCTTGTCACTCGGGTGTGGAACAGCAAATGGATGGGGTGTTTCTCCAAAGCTTCATCCATCCATCCATCCATCCATCCATCCATCCATCCATCCATCCATCCCTCCATCCTACTGTCCATGCTCCAAGAGTCCTCTTGGACTTCTTAGCATGGTACGGATCATAGAATCATAGAAAAGTTGGGGTTGGAAAGGACCTTAAGATCATCCAGTTTCAACCCCCCTGCCATGGGCAGGGACACCTCACACTAAACCATTTCATCCAAGGCTCTGTCCAACCTGGCCTTGAACACTGCCAGGGATGGAGCATTCACAACCCATTCCAGTGCCTCACCACCCTGACAGTGAAGAACTTCTTCCTTATATCCAATCTAAACTTCCCCTGTTTAAGTTTTACCCGTTACCCCTTGTCCTATCGCTATAGTTCCTAATGAAGAGGCTAAGGGTCAGGGGATTTATTTAGGATAAGTGGAGATTGTATTAACCCCACTTTGGGAACGCTGCAGAATTTACAGGGGAACTGTTTGCATCCTCGTGCAATTTCAGACCCATCCATTAGAGATGTCGCTGAATGATGGACAGTCTGATCCCTGTCTGAAGCCTTTCATTACCCGTTGGCTCTTGGAAACCAGCGGGGTTGGTTCAAGGCATCTCTGATTTAGAACATGTTCATTTTTTTCCCACTCTGTGTTTGGAGATTTTCCAACCTGAAATAAAGCCACACAGGCAGCTGCATTCTGCCACTGCTTTCCAAACGGGAAGAGGAAAGAGCCATGGATGGTGTCCAGCAGCTCTGCTATCTAGCCAGCAGCTGCAACGTTTTCTGCTTCAGCTGATGTTAATGAATAAAGAAAAGATCACACATGATAGTAGAGGGAAAACACCCTTGAAGGACAGTAGTGGTGCTGAATGAGGGCTTTGATTTATTGTCCACTGTCCTCTGTCTCTCCCCATGCATACCACAGCTCACACTTCCAGTCTTATTTCACATGGTGAGTAAAATGGTAACACTGGTTTGCAATGCTGCTCACTGCAACAGCTCATCAGGGATTGTGCTTAATTGCCCGTATTCTACCTTATCAACATCAAACATTTAAGTAATGAAAGTCTCATGTTAAACTCCTGATTACAGGTGAGACCAGGTGTGTTGCCTGGGGCAGGTAAGGAAGGGCAAAGTGGAAAGCGAAGCTGGAGGGAGCAGGTAGACAGATGTGTTGGCTTGAGCAAAGCCGTGCTGCTCCATCAGTTAATAGGGAAGAGATTTAGCACGCCTGGGTACTCCATGTCTGCTTGTGCAGTTGTGCCTGTGGCTGGCCTTTATTTATGCAGAGAACATTGCCCGGAGAAGCTGTGTCTGTGTTCAAGGCCAGGTTGGACACAGGGGCTTAGAGCAGGCTGCTCTAGTGGAAGGGGTCCCTGCCCGTGGCAGGGGTTGGAGCTGGAGGAGCTTTAAGGTCCCCCAAACCAGGCTGGGATTTTAGAAGTCCAGTTTCAGCATCCTGTATTTGCAGCTCTTTTTCACTCGTGCTGCTGTTCCCTTAGTGCAAGAGGCCTGATGTGCCTCTTGCTTGTACCGTGTAAATGAGGGTCGATCTGCTGAAGACAGGGGAGTTAGGACAAAGCGATGCTAATGAGAAGGAAATCAGGATAATGGGCAAGAAGCTGTGTAAAAGCATCTGTATTCTTTGCTGCTTTGCTGTACTCTTCACTGTTAATGCTTTAGTGTTTTATGGTCCAGGACTTCTGTTGCAATGATCTGCCTCCAGCCAGTTGGGAATTTTTGCAGTTATGAGTCAAGCAAGGCTAAAAAGCTCAGAACTGAGCAAAGCACAAACTGACTGCACTGCTTTGATCTCACACACATTGGGGTGACCGCTCACCACCGAGGAATCATCGTTATCTCCTGGAGTTGGAGAGCCCAATTAAGGAAAAGGGAAAAAGGAAAGAAAACAAACCCCAACCGACCTGGACTAAACGGTTAGTGTGAAGTTCCCCAGTTTGGAATGGTTACCAGAGCCAGAGTGATGCTGCAGGTTTTGCTGCTGGAGTCAACAGTATAATAAATTGTAATTGCAGGGTTTTGGTGGCTCATAACCAGTAAATCAGATCTCTGGAACTATA